ATACACCTTGTCTTGTATTGTCTCAATGGGGGACATCGAAAAAATCAGCAAATTCATCGTCTACCAACTGGGTTTCATTATTGTTGATGTCAAAGTTTTCTTGTAGAAATTGACTCATAATAATTTTTCAGTCTATAATTATGGTCTCTTTCTCTGTTTGTGAAAATTGAATTAGTTTGTTCGTTGGAGGAAAAAGGAACAAGGCTAATTTATGGTATTTTGTCACATTTGGATTGATTGTTGATAAAATTTGGCTATTGAGTTGCAATTTAAGTCTTTTAATTATTTCTATGTCATTGTTCTCAATATGGCAGGTTTTCTTAAGCTTATTTAAATTTGGCAAAATTAAATGTATCGTTGGGCGTTTAGAAGCTTCAAGTTTTTTGGACACATTCTCAAAAACTTCTAGCAATCGTACAATTCCAACTAAATGATTTATATTAATGTTTTCAACTCTGCAGGTTTGGTTTTTTTCTTTTAAGGGGACCCCCCCCCATTCTCGGTTTTAAAAAATCGATTTTTTTTTTAAATTTAATTTGAACTTGTAACTATTCAAGAATGTTCCCTGAAAATTTCAAGTAAAAATTTCAAAAACTCTTAAAGATATAGCCGATTTATGGTGGAAGCCTCAGGCGACGGCGAGAGCCGTCTCAAAACTTTAAACGCGTTTTTCTCGAAACAGTGTTTTTACGACTGGCGCATGAGGTTACTCAAAAACTATTAATCCAATCGGTTCCAAATTTTAACACGTTATTCTATACATATATAGCTCTAGGATATATATATATATAGCTCTATATGGAACTAGGATAAATCAAATCGGTGAAGATGTTCTTTACTTTTCAACTCGATTTGTGCCTGAAAAAAATGGAAATTTTCAAAAAAAATTTCAAAGGTCCGCCATTTTGTTAATTTTTGAGCGAAGCTAATAATCCTATTTCATACGAGAGCCAAACATGTACTTTTTCTAATCCCGTTGGAATTATTGGATTCAGATGGTCCAGTGAGCGGAAATCACATGCGCCGCCGAAAAGAAGGGCTTTTCTTTGATCACAAAAAACAACAACAAAAACAAAACAAAAAAAAATTCTGTGAAATGATTTTCTTCCTTTTTGTGTCTTAATATATGTAAGCACAGTTACAACCCTAAAAAATAATTTATGTTCATTTGCCAGCCCATTGAAAATCGTCAAAATTTAAAATCAAGAATGGGGGGGGTCCACTTAAAATAGCTGTTAGATCTATCCAATTAATTTCAATGAACTTAAGCAAATAGTAGACGGTATTCCACCGAGTTGGACAAAAGCTCTTTAAAGACACGCTTAACGATGAATTATTTCCTGACTTTTTAAAATATTTGACTAGCTTGCTGCAACTTGTGACAATATTTTCCACCTCGGGAATAGCGTTAATAGCTTTTTCAACAGCGTTGTTAAGCAAGTGGTTTATGGAATGAGCGTTCTCCGAGTTTGAAAAGGCTTTAATCATGTTCGACCCACGATTAGTTACGATTACGGGTTTGTCTACTTCAAGGTCACATCCAAAATCCTTCAAAATGGCTTCTATTTTTGCCTTTATATTGACACCTTGATAAAGAAGAAATTATAATTCTACTTGTAACATAAAGATGGGGTTAACAAACCTGTGCTGGGCGAGCCCTTCATTGATTTCATGGCCATAAGGCGTTCGATTAAAACTCCCTCCCTTATGTAATGGACAGTGCACGACAAATATGCTGTTTTTAAGAAGTTATCCGTCCATATGTCAGTGGTAATAGCATATCCAAAGTCTTTGTACTTCTCTATTTCCGTTTTTATCGGGCCAAAGTGGGACGAATATATTGATTGAATGTTTCGGGATACGGTTGTAGGATGCGGTAAAAGCTTATTTACGTCAACATTTTCACCATATTTACCTCCAACATTAATTAAAAATGATGCAAACTGTTTAATCCCAGAGTCGTCAATAATTTTAAGAGGACGGCAGTTCTTAGGAACCCATTCGGTTATAACAGATACGCCCTCGTCTTTTGTAGCTTTGTTTACTTCAATAAGAGAAGGGTTGCGGAATTTATTGGCATTTACTATGTATTTATGTTTCACCAGGTTTGATGTGCTTCCTGTATACTTTAAAACTGTATAGCACATCTTACAGGCTACAAAGTCGACAATCAGTTCTCCATTTTGGTTTTTAATTTTAGAGAAAAATTCCCATACTTCGCTTCTGCCTCTCTTTTGAATAAAGGTGTACATGCTACTTTGCAGCTTCTCTTTGATACCCACCGCGCCTCGCACAACCTAAATGTTTCAAGCAAATTAATTTGACAAATTAAAAAATAACACAAAAAACATCTATGGAAAGGACACAAATTCACAGGTTAATACCTAGCAAAAACAGGAACAAACCAGAATAAACAAATTGTTATAAATATACATAGAATAAATTACATGTATTACATACATTTAAAGAACAATTCATATTCAAGAAAACGGGGACGGAGGAACTTGCGGAAAACACAGTCACTTTATAGCTAACCAAACAACGGCAGCCAACGAGTGACCCACCGGCGCTGGTAAACTGTCTTTTCAACCAGCTGCCATCTGTGACAGTCCCTTAAGGGGTTATATACAGTTGTGACATATGAAAAAATCGATTAGAACCGAAGCTGTAGCTATTTATAGCGCACTATCTGCATATAAAACTTGAACAAACTTGAAACTTTAAACGCGATTATCTCAAAATCTTTTTTTTGGAAAAATACCTTTGCGGTGGACACGATTACTAAAAAACTACTAATCCGATCAACATCAAATTTTGACCACTTATTTATTATGATATTAGCTAGTCCGCGAACGAGGGATTTTCTATTTTTTTGAAAACTCCTTTTTTAAAGCACAAAAAACGAAAATCTTATACGTTGAAAAAGTACATTTTTTGTTAAAAACGTCGCCATTTTTTTTTTAATCAAAATTTTTAAAAATCCCTCGTTCACGGACTAGACAATACAATATACTAACTAAACTTTTTTGAATTTTGGATTTCGGATGAACCGTTTTCGAGAAATCATGTCCACCGCAAGACACCATCGAAAAAAGACGATCCGGGAATTCGGCTATAACATTTTTGTTATGTAATATTTTTTTATGAAAAAATTTAATTAAGTACATAGAAACATGTACTAAACAACGTCGGTAAAACATTTTTCATAAATATTTTCTATGGTGTCAAAAAAAAATCGATAAAAATCCATATTTTTGCGCGGTACAACTGTATATAACCCCTTAACAACTTGTAAAGGATTCTTGCAGAGGCTGAATAAGCAAAAGCCGCCTTGCATTTAATAATAAACTAATTTACGAGGTCTACAAATACATACAGATTCGTCGGCTTCTTTTTCTATTTGGTTTTCCATAATTTCGGGTTTGTTCCGGAGTTGTCAAAAAGGGAATGTATTGAATTCCTATCCAACAACTCGAATGATTCAAGTATACAAGACATCTGTCAAATCTTTAATTTTACTTTAAAGCATAGTACTGAGTTGACGAAAATCCGCTGTCGAACGAGTGACAGCTGTCAAACTCCATATAAAAAAAACGGTGTAAAAAATGGAAGAAGAAGAAATTTTTGCCTTCTAGATTTTGCGGGTACTGAGTTGACGAAAATTTTTACTATCGATTTCAATGGTGTTGCCGGATAAAAAAAAATAAACAGCTGATCTCGGGGAGTTGAAAGAAATAATTTCATTTATTTCTATAGGTGTGACATGGAGGGTCAATTGATCAAACAAAAAAATAGTCGGCTCGAAAAATTTTCGACGCGCCAGTTTTCTTTTTCTTATTCAGCTCCTTAGCGGCGAAATACTTATGTATTTTTATGTATTTATGTTTATACAAAACACCAACATCCAATCGTTTTGAATTCATTTTTCCTTATTTGTTTTTTGTTTACAAACAACAGCTGTTCAGTATTACCATATTTCTTAATTTTTTTGGTCACACTAGCTCGGTAGCTGAATAAAGTGCGATATCGTTATCGGATTTTCAAAAGCGGATTTTCGTCAACTCAGTACTATGCTTTAGTTTCGTTCATTCTCTTTCATTTATTTTGACCTGTCAAATTATGAGAGGAACACAAACTTGTACTCATTCAATGACATTTCATTTCTAACATTTCTTTCACTTCATTCTATTCAATTCGAAAGTATTCTTTGAGACTTATGCTATGAATGTAATCATGCAGATGTTTAGTATGTAAGCTTTGTGTGACCTACATCAATATCGAATGCAAGCGCTTCTTCTGGAGTGAAAGAAACAGGTAGATTCCTGAAAACACCAAGTGACTGTTTTATGTTTCGTCCAGATTTCTCATCATTTTTTAAAGAACACACTATTTTTGAAGCAGTGCGCATTCCGGACTTGTACAAACTGCTACTTGTTGCTACCAACAACTGTTCACAAGTCGATTCCTGAACTAAGTTAGCTACTTTTTTGACTTGGGCTTTCGGGCACAGATCACTAAAATGCTTCCTTGGTCTGCCAATATCAATAGTTGACGTTACATTATGTAATATCAGTGGCATATCAAGCCATTTCTAATTTTTTTTTTCAAAAAATGCTTTGTTGTAATGGCAAGTTTTACATTTTGTTGTAAGCCGGCTAACAAAATTTGACAATTTCTTTTTAATTTCTTGTTGTTCAATTTCAGATAAACAGCTGCTATTTGAAATTTGGCCGAACACATATTCGGTAAGCACCAAAATTTTTTTTCTGCTACACTAATACTAACATTAGCATGAATACGATTGAATCACATTAGTTACAGTCCAACGAAGACAATAAATCGTTTAAAAATCATTACTTCAATAGCATGTGGCAACCCCTTTCAGTTCTCGTTATCGACAAAACTCGATAACTTACGCGAGTATCGATATTACGGGAGTACATCTCCAGGAGACACACTCTCCCCTCAATAAGTTTCCTCAATAAGGCCCGAACATCCAGAATTATGGCTATCGCAAATCGAAGCCCAATTCGTTCTGGCGGGAATAACCTCGGACGAAACGAAATTTAACACAATCCTAGCGTCAATCGAAGCACCGGTGTTAGCCCGAATTGCCGACGCCATCGTCAACCAACCACGCACAGTCAAGTACGAAAATTTGAAATCGTGCATCCTGGAACGCTTCTGCGAAAGCGAACAAAAGAAAATCCAGAAGTTAATATCGGAGACCGACCTTGGTGACAAGCGCCCCACGCAACTGCTCAACGAGTTAAACGCACTCGCGGCAAACAAAGTTCAAGAATCTTTTCTGAAAGCACTGTGGCTGCAGCGCTTACCAACACAAGTGCAAGCGATCTTGCAAGCATCGGACGCCAGCCTCGCAAACTTAGCTAAGTTGGCAGATAAAGTGATGGAAGTCGGTGATTTTCATCAGGTACGCACCATCGACGCCAAGTCGGCGCCAACCAGCAGCGCCGTTTCCGACGATCGTCTAGACCGCATCGAACAACAAATCAACGCGCTCTTCAGAAACCGTTCTGGGGAAACTGCTGGAGACATGTGTTGGTACCACAGCAAATTTGGTAACGCCGCCAAGAAATGTCGCCAACCATGCTCTTTTGCATCCGAACCTAAAACCTAAATCAATCTTCGGATTCGGCGGACAAATTCGAAGAAGACCACGAAGAGGCCGCCAATGGCACGAAAATACAAACCTATGGAGAAAAACGCATAGCATTGTCACTGGGATTGCGACGAAACTTCGTGTGGACTTTAGTGATAGCTGACGTCAACTGCGCTATTATCGGATCCGACTTTCTTCAACATTTTGACTTACTCGTCGATATGAAACGACGCAAACTCATTGATCGGGCTACGCTGCTGGAATCAAAATGTCACGCGCCCAACGTAAAATTAAATGGAAATGGTTTATGGCACCACACTACGGGTGCCAGGCGGATTTTTTGCACCGGACACACAAAAACACACTGAGTCCGAGTTCACCGAGGCTCTTCAAAAAACCATGTCTCAACTGCCAACCACTAAGCCAGTGCACCATCATACACCGCAAGAATTTGTGCACCCGGACCTAAACCATTGTACCCACGTCTTCGTTCGAGTGGATCGAGTGAAAACCCCGTTGGAAGCAAACTACGAGGGTCCTTTCGAAGTGGTAACAAAACACGAAAAATATTTTACACTCAAGGGCCACACAAAGGACAACAAGGTTTCCATCGATCGACTTAAACCAGCTTACATCTTCAAAGACGTACCGCCTCCAACACAGGAGCAGACGACAGCGCCAACTGCTCAGACACTCGAGAAAGTGTCAAGATCAGGACGACAAATCAGATTCCCAGCAAAGTATCTTTCCCAACTGGAACTCTAGGGAGGGGTACTGTGGCAACCCCTTTCAGTTCTCGTTATCGACAAAACTCGATAACTCACGCGAGTATCGATATTACGGGAGTACATCTCCAGGAGACACACTCTCCCCTCAATAAGTTTCGTCAGCTTCGTCCGCCGCCACTGCAGAGTCTTTGCCGCATTCATCTCCCGATCATCTTTTTAGTTTTAAATATAAGTATATAGTAAACAATAAACATAAGCAAAGTAAAAGCATATTAATAACAATATATTTTTAGGCTACAAATACACTGCGTTTCACTTGAATAGCACACTTTACATAGGGAATTTTAAATCTCGAAATCTTTAAAAAAAAAAAGATAACTCGTTGATGTTTTTGTTTCTATTTATAGAGTAATCAATTTTAATTATAAGAAAAGTAACAAAACTTAAATTAAATTAACAATTAATAAAGATTAACAAAAAAACTTAAAAACTTCAAACATTCCACAACAATTTTGTTTCACATGAATAGCACATTTTTTTTTTAAAGTATATTTAATGAACTTAAGTATTAGGAAATGTGTTTTTATGCAATAGTAAGTATTAATGTAAATATATATGTTAATTTAATAATGGGTCGAGCCCCCCTTATTCAATATAACCTCGTAGATCCTGTTGGGCAGCGAATCATATAGACTTTTAATGTAGTCTAAGGATATTGTAGCCCAGGCCCTCTGAATGGCGTCAATTAGTTCGTCTTTTGTTGAAAACTGTTTGCCAGACTCATAAACCTTTCTGACCAGGCATCCTCAAACATTTTCAATTATATTCAGATCCGGCGAGTATGGTGGCCAGTTCAGAGTTTCAACATTTTTATATTTTAAAAAAGATTTTACAACACGTGCAGTATGTATTGGGGCATTGTCGTGCTGGAATGTCCAAGGCAAATGATTGAAACAATTTTCCAATGGTGGAAAAGCTTTTTCGAGGACGTTTAGATACGTTTTTGCGTTCATGTTTGAGGATAAGAATTGGAGTTTACAAGTCCCATAGTAAGATATGGCTCCTCAAACCATAACTCCGCCTACTCGACTGTGTAAACGCTCCAATTGATGCGTCTCTTTCCTCAGATCATGAAAATAATAATTATAGCCATCTGGCCCCTCCAAATTGAACTTTTTTTCATCAGAAAAAACTACTCGCCTCCACTCGTTACACCATGACATATTGACGCGGCAAAAGGTCAACCGTGCTTCCTTTCGTTTGGGGTTAAGCGGTGGTTTTTTTTTAAGTTTCAAGCGTTTAAGATGTTTAGCTTTGGAAATAACTCGCCAAACAGTAGTTTTGCTCGCGTCAACACCTGCTTTTGCCCTTATCTTGCTCACAGAGTCGTGAGAATTTGAGGCTTCCCGCAGAATTGCACTCTTATCTGTGTCGCTAAGGACACTACTTTGGCAACCTTTCGTATTTTTTCCATAGTTTTGCTTTTTCTTTATAAAATTGTGCATGACTTTTCTGCTTCTTCCAATTTTTTTCGCTATATTAGCCATAGAAAGGTCACAATCAATATAGCTTTGTATTTGGATTTGTTCCTGTTGAATTGTATAAATATCATAATCTAGAGTCACATATATTTAAGCCAGTGTAAATAAGATATTCTGTATAGTATATAATATTATAATAAGCTATTGTAAATTAGATGTTATCGATAACTATTGTAATAAAGCTACACTCTTTACTTTACCAACTGAAAGCATGGTTTAACCAAATTAACTCTTCCTAAATAAAAACATTCCTCGAATCTCAACATGGTAGCAGAACAAGGTTATTAAACAAGAAAAGGAAAAGTGAATAGCATTTTGGCATAAAATAAAAATAAACAGTTTAAAGAAAAGTTGAAGTCCAAGTAAATACCTTGCCAACACATACACTTAAATCTACGGTGGAACGAACAAAAAACTTATAATCAGTGAAGGCGTGAGCAAAAACATCTGCATTAAATTGAAGCGTGTGGGAAAGCATTTAACTAAATCAATCATCATAATAAGCAAATACTTACATATATTACAAAGGAACACGTGGATGCTAACAGATTAAAATTTTAAAAAGAAAAATAAAAAAAAAAAAAACTGATCAATGCAAGGTGTTGCTATAAAAATTGAAAAAGACATTACCGAAAATAATACAGAAATTGAAAAGGCCATAACTATGGCTGCTCACGCAAGAATTGAAGACACCTTGATGCCCGTCTTTGATGGAACAAATTTCACAAGTTGGAAACTGAGATTGATGGTACTTCTGGAGTACAAAGAGTGCAAACAACAAGCAACAAGGATGAAGACCGATAAAGAAGCTGAAGCGGACTGGAGAAAGAGAGACCTAAAAGCAAGGATGATGATCATGAGTACAGTCACTGACAGACAGTTGGAGTACATAGGTGAATGCAAATCAGCCTATGAGATGATGGAAAAGTTTGATAGTATTTACACAACGAAATCAACGGCGCTCCAGATCATCCAAAGAGGCAAAATAGACGAAATAAAACTAAGCAATTATACAGAAGTGGACGACTTCTTTGTTGACTTTGAGAAGGCGATAAATGATTTTAAAGCAGCTGGTGGAGTTTTGGAAGAAGCAGAAAAAATGAGATATCTTATAAAAGCATTGCCGCCAAACTACAGCTATATTGGTGATTTTATAGATATTGTACCAGAACAGCAAAGAACAGTTGAATATGTAAAAAGCAAAATTAAAGAAAAAAATTTCAACAAAAGCGAGACGTCTAAAAGATCAAGCGTGAGTACATTTAACGCGAATACTAAAGGAGCCTGTTTCAGTTGTGGCAAATATGGACACCAGAAAAAAAATTGCTATTTAAATCAAGGAAATCAAGCAAGCCAAAATGCTATTCACACTGGACAAAACAGAGGATTTCATCACAACCTGGGCAGAGGGAAAAGAGGAAATTTCCATGGCAGATCACGAGGCTACAGCAGAGGCAGGGGATCTCACCGAGGATACGTGAACGAGGCTTCAGGCAACGAATCGAGCGCAGCATGGTCTGTCGAGTTACATCATCCTGCAGCTAATGGACCAAGTGGATGTGATTTCAAGGAATCAAGCGAAAATAGTTATCAATTAAAATGGATCTTGGACAGCGGCTGTACGGACCATATAATCAAAAGCGACAAATATTTCGTAAGTTATCAAGATTTAAAAATTCCTGTCGATGTTAAGCTGCCAGATGGCAAATCTTTAAAAGCTACCAAAATTGGTAATATCAAACTAACTTTTAAAACCTTCTATAAAAATAAAACTGTAGAGTTAAAAAATGTTTACTATGTAAATGGAATTCAGGAGAATTTATTAAGCGTAGCAAGAATAACGAAAAACAATATAATTGTTGCAAAAAACAGTAATGCAAAAATATATGATCAAAATAATGAATTAGTAGTCGTTGCTAATAAAGTAAACAACTTGTATATGATAAAAGGTATTGCAAAAGAAACTGACAGTATTAAAGAAGTCTATACAAATGTATTAAAACTCACAAATAAAGAAAAATGGCATAGGGCACTTGGCCATATAAACTTTAAATATTTAGATAAATTAGTTTCGGAAAAATTATTAGAAGGTTTGCCAGATAAGCTAGAAAAAACTGAGATGAAGTGTGCGAACTGCTTACAATCTAAAATGTCCAATAAGCCATTTGAAAATAATAGAATAAAATCTAAAGAAATTCTCGAAACAATTCATACAGACTTAAATGGACCGCATACCATTGGCTATGGCGGAGAAAAATACTTTCTAACATTCGTAGATGATTATAGTAAATGCACTAGGCTATATTGTATCAAAAATAAATCAGACACGGTAAATTGTTTCAAGGATTACATTAACTTCGTAGAAAATAAATTTAACAAATGTGTGAAAAAATTACAGTGTGATAACGGAAAGGAGTATTTAAACAATGAAATTTACACCTTCATACGGGATAAAGGAATAGAGATACTAACTTGTCCTCCATATGTACATGAACTAAATGGCGTAGCAGAAAGATATAACAGGTCAGCTATGGACATGGGCAGATGTCTTATGCGGGAAGCGAAAGTAAATAGGCAGTACTGGCCCGAAATTATGAAAGCAGTAGCCTATTTAAAGAACAGATCAATAGCCAACACACAAGAAAACAAAACACCTTTCGAAATATTTTTTAGTATTAAGCCAAATGTTAAGAATTTAAAAATCTACGGCAGCAAAGTATTTGCTAGAATACCAGAAGTTTTAAGAAAAAGCAAATGGGATGACAAAGCTAAAGTCGGAGTACTTGTAGGTTACAATGAAAACGGGTATCGAGTTCTTATGAACAATAAAGTTATTAACGTTAGACATGTTGATATAATAGAAGACAAAACGGAATTAATCTGCTTAGAAGAATGCTTAGAAGAGGAAGTATATAACAATGGTAAAGATAATGGTCTTAGTGAAACAGAATCTGAAATATGTGAAGATGAGCAAACTGAAAAAGAAGCAAAGGTAGAAAATAAAAATTTAGATCAGAGTCAATACAATTACCAAGATAATATTCAAACATTGAGAAAATCAAGTAGGAAAAAAACTACGGTAGATAGATATGGTAGTCCAACAACTCACTACATATATGTTAATCATATCGATGCGAATGTTCCAAATACATTCCAGGAGGCAATAAGCTCTAATAATAATGAAGACTGGATCAGAGCAATGGATTGTGAAGTTAAAAGTCTGAATAAGAACGAAACTTGGATAGCTGTCGATAGGCCTAAAAATAAAAAAGTCATTGATGTGAAGTGGGTTTTTAAAAGAAAAGGTGATGGCACTTTCAAGGCGAGACTAGTAGTTAGAGGTTTTCAACAACAAGAGGATATTGAAAATGTATGTTCGCCAGTAGGAAAAATGCAAACTTTAAAAACGCTATTATCATACTGCTGTGTAAATAATTTATACATAGAACAAATGGACGTAGAAACAGCTTTCCTAAATGGCAAAGTAAAAACCGAA